AACTAGCGTAGCTGGAATGTGTTTGTAAGATAGTCTCTGAAGGCCATTCCAAATCTTCCGGAAAATGAAGAGCTCCAAACTTGCCGGCTTTCCTTAGTAACTTAAATACCCCAACCCAGAGTCCCGGTAAGAAAGAAGGGTTCCCTAAAATAGGAATTAGAGGTGACCGATCTGGTGACAATCATCTTTGTAAAAAAACTATTTTAGCTACTGCCAAAGTAGGCATAATAGTTGGATGATTTTTAATCTCCTTTGGAATTAAGGCAGAAACATAGCACCATGGAAGACCAGATAATGGAGCTACAGAGTATGATTGTTTCGTTTCAATCCAGAGCTTAGCGGTGTTATGACGGCACCAATCCAAAATACGGGTCAAATGGACTGCATAATAGTATAAACGTGTATCAGGTAAGGCCATACCTCCCTCCTGTTTAGACCTTCTCAAAATCACATAACTTAATCTAACCGGTTTATGTGCCCATACAAACTTAGAAAACTGGGACTGGAGTCTACGAAAAAAAGAAGTTGGAATATGAATAGGTAGGGCCTGCATTACTTAAAGAAGTCTTGGTAACACCGTTTGTTTCAGAATGTTACATCGGCGCATCCATGAGAACGCATGTTTAGTCCATGTAGACAAATAGGAAACTATACGTGTATAAAGCGACAGAAAATTCAAAGAGAATACCTGGGTAAGGTCTTTAGGTAAATGAATACCCAAGTATTTAATGGATTGTGAGGCCCATCGGAATGGAAAATTACTCAAAATTCTATGAAGTCGCCAGCCTGTAAAGGAGATATGTAGGGCTTCCGATTTATGCGAATTAATAAGGAAATTTGACAACTCACCATAATTTTTCAATTCCTGTTTTAGGACTGGGATAGAAACTTCCGAGGAGGATAAAAAATAAAAAAAAAAGATCATCTGCATATAAAGCAATTTTATGTTGGATAGCTCCTATAGTAATCCCCTGTATATCCGAATTGGCCCTGACTATTCTAAGAAAAGGCTCCAAAGTCAATACAAAAAGTAAGATGGAAAGAGGGCACCCTTGGCATGTTCCGTTTGTAATAGAAAATGTAGCTGATAAAATCCCATTAACTCGCACTTTAGCTGAGGGACAAGAATATAAGGCTTGTATCCAGGTGCGCATACCAGTTCCCATTCCTATTGCCTCTAATGTCAGGTGTAAAAAAATCCCAATCTACCCTATCAAATGCCTTTTCGGCGTCTGTGGATAGAATAATAGTAGAAAGGCATCATGGCACATTCACAAACCAGCATGTAAAACAACTTGTCTCACCACTAAGGATAATAACAGAGGTTTGGATACACGTCTTCTGCAGAGGATGTGAAAGCCGCACAGCCGCGCCAAGGCACCTCTTATAGTGCGGTCCTAACTCTAAACTATGAGAGTCTCCATCTTGGAGCACATGGGGGCAGAAGATTTCAAATTGGGTGCAGGTTTGTCAGGTGGACGCCCAACCTCCTTAAAAGCACAGAAACACACAAGGGATCCCGCACATCCCAATGGCAGCTGAGAAACCCCATGCATCGCTGCACCAAATCGGTCAAGCAAAACAAACGACAAACGCACTCAATTTGTCACCAGTTATACAGTAAGGTGCACACGAAATGGGCTTTGAACAGTAAAATAGTAGAAAGGCATCATGGCACACTCACAAACCAGCATGTAAAACAACTTGTCTCATCAATAAGGATTCTAGCTGCAAGTCCTGGGAAGTAATTTATCCTCAAAGACCACAACAGGGACTCCACAGTTGGGTTCCAGTCCATTTTTAGCAGCTAACATCATCTGATGATTGTTTACATTAGTAGGAGCCTGAAAGCTCCATAGTTTCTGCTTCCACAGAATGTAGAAGGTGAAAGGAGCTGAGATTATAGGGTCTCTGTTGTGATTTGCCTGTAGTTACGGACCTGAATGATGGCATGTTTTTTTTTTTTGTTTGTTTTTTAATTCTTTATTTTATTAAACAGGGATATCCTTACAAAAATATTGCAGATATTCCTTAATATCGAACAAGTCACAGAGTATAATGTAATGTTAGTGCAAATAATAAGTAATAACTCCAAAGCACGGATTTCCCTACTTTTTAAGTTTATAAACAATGTACACCAACATACAGGGGGAGCAACAAAGAAAAGAGGTATAGGTAAGTTAGGGCACAGATTGACCCTATGCCACGCGCAGAAGGCCGCGTCCCAATCTCTAACCATGATGGCATGTTTTAAAGTGAATTTAATGCTTGTTTGGAATATGTAAATAATTTAGGCCCGCTTCACACCTCCTGAAATTGTGATAGGCAAACCATTAATTTGACAATGCATCCCATTGCACAGGGAAGTGCATCTGGCCCTCTTTGGGGAAAGCACCATAAGGCAATGCATGGTAGTGCATTATGGAATGCTGCAGCACAGCTGTCTTGCTTCAACGCATGGGGTGCCATTCAAAATATAAGGCACTGCAACATACTAACTTCTGTATGGTGTGGTAGCTTAATTTGCAGTAACGCATGCATTACCACAACACAAAGATGTAAAATTGGCCTTAAAGTGACACTAAACTCAGATGTTAAATCTTAAAAATGCATTCAAGTACCTTAACTATTGTGATGGAAATGTAGGTGCTGGGGAACATTTTGTATATTAATCTCTATTTTGTGTTATACAAAGAGGGAATTGACTCCCCCTCACCTTTCATGATTTAAATAAGTTGTTCATATCGTTACTTGCAGCATGCAGGGTGGACACTGAAGCAGGTCTAGATTAGATTGGTTCTGAGGCGAGTTTGACCCTCAGCTATACATAGGACTATGAGTCAGCTTGTTTGGAAACATGCAAAAAAGTAGTCCTCCCTTTCAACAAAGCAGTAATAGTCTCATAAATTATCCCCTTCACGACCCATGACGGGATAATCCCATCATGAAGGGGTTAAACAGAGTCTGTTCAGTTTTGTGGAGCCGGAAGCTGGCTTTACATTAGAAGTGATTCTTGCAGCTCAGCTGCCGCCACATCACTTGTACTATCCGGTAACCAGGCCGCCCCCCTGGCCTGACACTCCTGACGAGTTTCCTGGGCTCTGCTGCCCCTCCTGCCTTGTCGGGTGTCGGCGGGAAGCTGGGGAGTAGATCGATGAATGTCTGTTCCCCGATTTCCTCCCCGTTCTATGGGAGCGGGAGCGACACGTATTGCATCACTTCCGGACCCATAGCTGTCATTGCTGGGCTCCTGAAGCTATTGAAGTGCGATCTGTACTTCAATATTGTATTTACAGTGTTAATGTGATATTGTATTTAGAGTGTTAATGTGATACTAGGGTTCTTTTGGACCCCCAGCATCGCCTTAAAGAGTACCTGTCACTGCCAATATTCTATCACATGGGGGGCTTGTAAGCCCCCCTATGTGATGGCAATTAAATTAAATTAAAGTTTTAAAAAACTGTTTTAAAAATAATATTAAATTAAAAAATAATATTAAATTAAAAAAATTTTTAAGTCCCCTGCGAGCATGCGCGTCATCACATAAACACGCGTCGGGTGCACCTACATACAAAACAACGATTGCGCTACAAATGTTGGGTATCGCCGCACACGCCAGAGTAAGAGCAATAATTTTGGGGCCATGGTTTACATGTACAGTATCTCTAAGCTGATGACCTGTAGGATCTTTTAAAGCGTCTTCTATGGACCTTTTGGGGTACTGAATTCTGCCACAGTTTCACGGACGCACGCAATTTTTAACCAGGGCGTGTTGGGTACCTATTTACTCGTTGTAACCTCTTTTACATTTTACAAATGTGGTGTTTTGGGTCACTAAATTTAACTTTAAGTGCATTTTCACTATATTTTTGGGTTTGATAATAAGTTGCACTAATGTTGTGCAACATAAAAATTTGCAACTGCCAACATTTTATTCTATAGGGTCTTGGCTTTCAGAAAATATATAATGTTTGGGGGTTTAAAGTAATTTTCTGGCCTAAAATGTGGATTATAACATGTAAACAAAAAATGAAAAAAAGGTCTTTGTCCTTAAGGGGTTAAATCCCTGTGGTCTCAGTTTCTATTTCTCATATGACCTTATCCTACTGGTATTTTGTCTATCTGACTAATAACGGGTTAAAATTTCAATTACACGATTAACAAAACTGTACATTATTTGTGCATCAATCAAATGTAGATCCATAAATCATCTCTGAATTTGTGCTGACACATTTGGAGTGTGGCTATGTTTGTTCCCCATGGCACCTATGTGTGTTGTAAAGTAGCCAACACTCCAAGCTCACTCCTGTGATGGACTATAATCTCACATTTAGTTTACTAATTTGTATTGAGAAGGGATGATTTGAGGAACTACAACGTAAGTGATATACAAATAAGGTAGTTTTTTAAATAGTTAAGGTACTTGAATGCATTTTTAAAAATGTAATTATTGAGTTTAGTGTCACTTTAATGTGCATAGTTCAAGCACAAGTTCACTCTTTTATAGCTAGAGGGCCACTCATATGTAGATGCCCACATTTTTATTTGGTACACTGTTTTAATAAATAGCCTGCTCAGGTTTTATATTATTGGTTGTGAAATGAACAAAAGGTGGGAAAAAGGTTTTTTTTTTAACGTTTTGATTTATTAAAAAAGATTGTACTTGTATCTGTCAATAACAGTATTATACAGAGGGTCATGCTAACATCTTTAGACTGCAGTGTCATTTGCAGGCTAAGGATGTTTGTGCCTCAACTTCCAGTAACATGTAATCACCATGATTGGTTGCCATGGTGATCACATGATTGGGGGGGACCATGCTGACTAGTTCCCGATCATTAGTTTAGACCGAAGCGGTCAGTGCAGATTGAGAGCTACGAGGACATATCTTTGTGCACTCCTAGCTGTCAAGTAAGCAATTTAAAAGAAGACATGATATTGTTAGGTTTCAAAAGGCATTTTTATCACCTCTAAATAAATGTATTTCTGACATTTTGAAGGTATTTTGGTAGTTTATCAAGGGGAGAGTCCCTGCCAGTGAAGGAACGTGTAGAAATGATGGCAGCAAATACAAAGACCACTACCGGGTTGACTCCAGGACTTCTTAAAGTGTTACATAAACAAGTAAGTAAATGTATTTTTTGATGGTTAAATTTAAAGAGGAAATGTTAACCTAAATCTATTATCTGTTTGCTCAACCCACCTGTTTTTGGGGGCTTGAGATGTATATTTCTCGTGCAGTGCTACTCTATTCACCCAATTTTTAGGTATGTAGAAAATACTAATTGGCCGTGATACTGGAGGTTTACAAAGTGCAAACTAATTCAAACACGGTTATTCAAATAATCTGCGATAAGATATTATGCTATGCATTGTTATTGTATGTACAATTGTATGTACAGGGGCAGCCAAATTTCATGGGCCTGTTAGCTGTTGTTTGCTACGTTACCTGTCCCTCTTTTGGACTGCTTTTGGGTGCCCCATTGCTTTCAAAATGAACTCCATGTGCCCTGTGATGTACAGTCAAGAAAAGATTTTTGTCTTACCTGTAACAGCCATTTCTTGCAGTACATAACAGGACCCTTCCCCCTGTTTTTCTGTGATCCACTATTGTTTACAGAAATCCCTGAAGATAGTGCTAGGTCTTATTTTCGGGGTAGGTGTTACTTTCGGGGAAACACGGTACAAAACTGAGGCAGACTGGGAGTGGGAGGGATTATAACCCATTTGTTGTAATTTACTCCAAGAAATGGATTTTACAGCTAAAACAAAAATCCTGTTTTACTGCACAAGCATGGGTAGCTTTCCCTGTGTTAGCAACAAGTGTTTGCTGCAGACCATGTTTTTTTTTTTTTAAAAGGCGCTAGCAAAATAAATAAATATATACAATATATTTCCTTTCAAAATATAAACCCTGAAACACTAAACCCAAATCTAAATCAAAATTTTAACCCAGCATGGAGTAAAAATAAATAAATAAAATAAAAATCCCAAATAAAACAATAAAAAAGGAGCAGCTAAACAGCAAATACAGTTGTTGATGACACACACAAAAAGGTAGTCCTAAAAAGGATTGTTAGGTCTCTGAACTGTGAACATAGGGGATACACAAGAATATGTAGCCCACTACACTGCAATCTGCAATTATGTAGCACAATATAGCACTGGGTAGCAACTTATTCTCCCTGCACGCAGACTATTGGCACTCCCTAAGCCAGGGGTGCCCATTAGGTAGATCGTGATCTACCAGTAGCTCTCAAAGCTGATGCAGGTACTTCACACCAGCTCCAGTGTGTTCCGGCCCGATTTAGTGCTGGCTGGAACACACTGGATCGCATCCCGGTCAGCTCACTGCGTTCTGGGGTGGGAGGGGGCGTGGCGGTGCATTAAAGTCAATGGCACCGCAGTGCGATTGCCTGCATTGGAACGCATGGCAAATCAATGCCTGCGTTCCGTTGCGGTCAGAAAAAATAGTGCATGCAAATGGACTTCCCCAAGGCACTATTGCATCCCTACTTAATAATATAATGTATTGCTGGGACTTGTAGTCCTGCATAATTGCTGCTATTCTGCATTGCTGTATAATCATTATACAGCAATGCAGAATACCACCAGCTATGCAGGACTACAAGTCCCAGCAATACATTCTAATGTAAATAATAACAATATAACAGCAGCTTCTTCCACCCTCCCCCCCTCCCCCACAACCACACAAACACACATACACACACACTGGTGTATCCCTACGTAATAATATAATGTATTGCTGGGACTGCATAGC